AGGATTTTTAAAAAGTAAGAGGTAGAGGAAAAATTGGGAAGATAAATGAGAGTGATGGAAGAAAATCATGAAAAAAGAGTCATCAGCTTGGTAGAGGAGACAAAAAAAAAGTCAAAGAAATAACACCTTAAAAAAACAAAAGAAACCAAATGGTAAAAGAGTCGCAAGAATCCAAGGAAGAGAAGAATGCCTTGAAAAGCAGAATTGGCCAAATGGGAAAAAAAAATACACAAAAATTCACTGAAGAGAAGAACTCCTTAAGTAGAATTAGCCAAATGGAAGAGGTACAAAAGCTCACTGAAGAAAATAATTCCTTAACAATTAGAATTGGGCAAATGGAAGCTAATGACCTTATGAGATGTCAAGAAACAAACAAAATCCAAAGAATGAATAAATAGAAGACAATGTGAAATATCTCACTGGAAAAACAACTGACTTGGAAAATAGATCCAGGAGAGATAATTGAAGAATTATTGGACTGCTTAAGAGTGATGATCAAAAAAAGAGCATAAACATCATCTTTCAAGAAATTATCAAGGAAAACTGCCCTGATATTCTAGAACCAGAGGGTAAAATAGAAATGGAAAGAATTCACTGATTTCCTCCAGAAAGAGATTCTAAAATGAAAATTCCCAGGAATATTATAGCCAAATTCCATATCTCCCAGATCAAGGAGAAAATACTGCAAGCAGCCAAAAAGAAACAATTTAAGTATCGTGGAGCCACAGTCAGAATAACACAAGATTTAGCAGCTTCTGCATTAAAGGATTGGAGGGCTTGGAATATGCTATTCTGGAGGACAAAAGAGCTAAAATTACAACCAACAATCACCTACCCAGCAAAACTGAGTCTAATACTTCAGGGGAAAATGTACATTCAGTGAAGTAAAGGACTCAAGCTGGAGCTGAATAGAAAATTTTACTTTCACATGTAAGACTCAAGAGAAGCATGAAAAGGTAAACAGGAAAGAGAAATCATAAGGGATTTGGTAAGTTTAAACTGTTCATATTCCTGCATGGGAAAATGATATTTATAACTCCTAAAAACTTTCTTATTATTAGGGCAGTTAGGAGTATACATAGAGAGAAAGCAGAGATGTGACTGGAATGTGATGGTATGTTTATCTAAAAAAAATAAACTAAGGATGAGAAAGAAGCATGCACTGGGGGAAGGGGAAAAGGAGAAGTAGAATGGGATAAATTATCCGACATAAAAGAGGCCTGAAAGAGATTTTACAGTGGTGGGGGAAATGGGGGAAGTGGGGAGGGGGACACATGAACCTTACTCATTGGAATTGGCTCAAAGAGGGAATTATGTGGACACTCAGTTGGGTACAGAAATCTAGCTTACCATACAGGAAAGCAGGGGATAAAGGAGGAGGAGGTGATAGAAAGGAGGGTAGTTTGGGGGAGGTAGAAGTCAGAATCAAAACACTTTGAGAATGGGTAGAGTAAAAGGAGAGAGAAGAGAGTACAATACATGGGGAAAATAGGATGGAGAGAATACATAGTTTGTAATCATTACTGTGAAAAAAGCATTTTTACAGTGATTTTCTATGATAAAGACTTCACTTTTCAAACATAGAAACTGAGCCAAATTTATAGAAATAAGAGACATTCCTCAACTGATAAATGGCCAAAGGATACGAACAGGCAGTTTTCCAACAAAGTAACAAAACTATCTATAGTCATATGAAAAAATGCTCTAAATCACCATTGATGAGAGAAATGCAAATTAAAACAACTCTGAGCTACTACCTCACAGCTATCCAATTGGCTAATATGACAGAAAAGGAAAATGACAAATGTTGGAGGTCCAGGATGTGGGAAAATTAAAACACTAATGTGCCATTGGTGAAGTGTACTGATTCAACCATTCTGAAGAACCGTTTGGAACTGTGCCCAAAGGGCTATAAAACCTAAACCTTACCCTAACCCTAAACTCTAACCCTAAATTAGCATTAGTACTCTAATTCTAATCCTAACCCTAAAAAGAGATATAAAACCAAAAGGAAAAGGACCTATGTGTACAAAAATATTTATAGTATCTCTTTTAGTGGTGGCAAAGAATTGGAAATTGAAGGGATATCCAGCAATTGGGGAATGGCTGAACAAATTGTTGTATGTAATTGTGGTGGAATACTATTGTGCTTTAAGAAATGATGTACTCTCAGAAAAACATGGAAAGACTTACATGAACTGTTGCAAAGTGAAATGAGCAGAATCAAGAGAACATTGTACACAGTAATAGCAATATTGTATGATGATCTACTATGTATCTACTTAGCTCTTCTCAGCAATACAATGATCCAAGACAGTTCTGTGGGTCTTATGATGAAAGGTGCTTTCCATCTCCATAGAAGGAACTGGTAGCGCCTGAATGTAGATCAAAGATACTTTTTCTTTACTTTCTTTTTTGTTTTGTTTTTGTTTTTGTCTGTGTTTTCTTTCACAGAATGACTAACCTGGAAATGTCATTTGCATCACTACACATGTATAATCTGTATCAAATTGCTTACCTTCTTGATGGTGGGAATGCAAAATTAGGGGAAAAAAGAATGTTAAATTTTTTTACACGTAATTGGGAAAAATAAAATATTAAATAAGATTTAAAAAAATAAAATAAAATTCGACTTCCCTAGATTTGACCCGAAGTTGTAGCCTGTGAAGATCTTTTGGTGTCCTACCTGATGTAGTAACTATCTCTCATTGTCAGATTCAAAAACATGCCAATTGTTCCTTTCCTAAGCCAGTTATAAAAACAGCATAATGCCAAGAACAAATTCCCAAAGGCAAGACTATTGGTGATGAAGACCCTCCCTCTGTAGTTCTGCTGGTCTTTTTCATCCTGGTAGACCCTGCCAGAGCTTATGCTTCACTGACATAGACTCCAGACCATTTTATCATGATGATGGGGCATCAGAAGCATCAGGACAATGCTACAGACACTTTCCCACATGGTACAATAAATTGTTGGGGATATGTAACGATCACCATGTATGTCTAGACTTGTTATTCCTTTACCAATGCAGATTGTCAGCACATAGTCTTAGTTGCACAGGTTCACACACAGCCAGTAACAGTAATCACTGTACCTTTTCCACTTCATTAGAAACCAAAAACATTTACTTCCATATACAAGAGTGTCTAATGCCCAAATTATTTTAAGGTGTTGGTTCCGCAAAGCAATTTATAAAGTTCCTGATATAATCTGTGACAAATACCTATTTTTAAATAAAGTGGAAAACAAATTGAAAGACAAGTTTTTGGGCCAATTAAAATTCTGTTTTAGGGGCTTTGTACCAGCCAGGGTATGATTTTAGAAGTTTTTGTTTTGGTGTGTTTTGGTAGCATTCCATAGAGACATAATTATATACTTATTAGACATACCTTTTCCTTGAAAATTAAGTACAGCAGTGTCTTATTCCAATTTATTTTTAATTCAACAAGAAGCTTAATTTTATCATTGTAATTTTGGGAGAAGATGCCACTTTGACTTGCATTGTGCTAGAATACACCTTTTATGTCACTTTTGGGTTGATTACATATCTGTGACCCACTGACTTGATTCAGCCCTTTAACATAAGAAAAAGTAGGTCAATACAGGGCAAGAGACTAGAATGGAATATGAGTAAGGCAAAGTAATTTCTCTCTTTTGGGTACAGAATCTATCACATAGGAGTGTTCTGCCCCTTCAAAAAAGTTACAAAAAGTAGAGACCCATTTACATTTTAGACTGGTCTGGGCCACCTGCAATGTTGATTTCATATTGTCTCCTCTATTTTACTGTCAGTATCATTGAAGGGAAAGGCTAAAAGTGCCTAGCAGGTATGGGTACTGAGATACTAAAAATGTTAGCATCCCTTCAGTGTAATTCTATTAGAGATATGATTTTGGGGGAATCTATTTAAATTCTCTGAGGCAGGTGTGTGATAAGTTTTAGAAAGGTTTCTATCCAGAATGATTAAATGATGTTTGAATACTAAAATGGTGAAGCCCTTAGTTCCTTTAAAAACTTGACTATCTAGGAGAAATTCTCTCAATAACACATTGGTTAGCCAAGATTTTACTGTGCACTGTTGGAATTCAGAATTAATATTAGGAGTTTATCATAAACCACTAACAATATGATAATGATGGTTTTAGGGAAATAAAGAGGCTTCATTTTTTTTGAGGGGGTACCTAACTTTGATTTGCCTTTTAAGTCCCATACTAGTTTCATTATATACTTAAATAATTCTCTTTACCAAATGTTCATTAAGCCCTTGTTACGTGCAAGGTGGTATGTTTAGGTGCTGGGAAGTACGCAGACAAAAGAGAAAACCTGTCCTGACCTCAGAGAGCTTCTATTCTTCTTGTTGATACACATGTAATAATAATAATAATAATAATGATAACAATAATAATTACTCTAAAGGGGTACGTTCTTGACCTGTTTGACAGCGTATGGAAAAACATAAGGGTGGAAAAATAGAGTGCCAAATATGGGCAATAGCAGGTTGGCCAGTTTGGCTAAACATAGGGCATATAAAGAAGAGTTATATAAAATAAGTTTAGAAAGGTAAGCAGATTATAAGATTTTAAAGCCTTTAAAGAAGTATCTGATCTGCCAGCTGTTCTTGAGCAGGGGAACAGCATAGTCAAATCTATGTTTTAGGAAGATAATTTAGTCAGCAGTGTGGAAGATGCATTGGCAGGAGGAGAGAGTGGAAGCAGGGAGACTAGTTAGGATATATGATGAGGGACTAAGTAAGGGTGCTAGCCATGTGAATAGGGAGAAGGACCAGTAGGAGAGATGATGTGATTGTAGAATCAATGAGACTTGGCAATTGTTTGAATATGGAACGTGAGAGAGTTAAGAGTCAAGGATGTCACTGATTTTGGAAATGTCACTAAATCCATTCAGAAATATTTAATGAAATATATTTAAAGTTTTAACATTGAAAATTCATACGTATTTTCTTTTGAGAATAATTATTGCTTTTATTGTTACTTTGGCAGCCACAAAGGCAGATGGATTTGCACTGTATTTCCTGGGAGACTGCAATAATGTAAGTATATAATGGATTTAGGTTCTAATATTTTATAATGTCAAGAAAGTATCTATTCTTTCTAAGATCCTATAATAACTAACATCTTGTTTCATAGGAAATGATATAAACTAAATGAAATAATCTATGTAAAGTGTTTTTAAGCCATAAAGAACTACCTAAAATGTCAGATATTTTATTTAGTTAAGTATGTGTTAAAAATTCATTTGAATTATTTTCAATAAGTCTATCTTTCCAAAATTTTTCTAATGAATAAAGCAGATTTGAAAAAAATAATTTATAAGTTACTATTTTATTTTTTAAAAACTGTATTTTTGTTTTAAATATATATATGTGTATATATATATATATTTGGTTTTTCAAAACTTCAGGAAATGAAAAATTATATTGCTTTAACATTTACTTTGTTATTGCTAATGACTCCTTAAAATAAACAGTGGTCCTCAGTAGCTCTGTATAGGGCAGAAGTAGGGGCTTCATCTATATTTCAAAAATGTTAGTAGTTGTAAGAAAAAAAATTGTTTTTTTCCAGGTTATCTGTGGCTTCTTAAAATGATCCTATGAGTGGTAGGTTGGTAGGGAGGGGTTCAAGAGACTTCTTCAGAGAATTCCTTCTTGTATCTGGTTAGCTTGTTTTCAGTACAATCAAAATCCTCTAATTCTGTTTGTATAGTGACATTTAAAATAAGATTTCTTTATGGTTTTTGTCTAACCAGTAACATTCAATTCCCTTCATCTTTTATGGAATCAAATTTTTAACTTATGTGTGTGTATAATACTTTTATAATATACTATAATTATTCTCGAATAACAGGACGTAGAACATAGATTATACAGAGTTTGTGATCATAAAGCTAACATTGGTCAAGATTTCTTTTAGATTGAGATTAAAATGTATAGCATATTGCTGATTGTATAAGGTGTGTTCAGTAAATACTTAATTGACCACATTAGCTACATAAACATGGGGTGTATGAAGTGTTCAGGGAGGACTTGTATCTCTGGTGTGAGAGCTTGACAAGCCCTTTTCAGGGCTGCTCATCTACTTTTGGTGTCCTCCTGTCCCCCCACTCTCACTTGTGGCTTCAAGAAGCAATAGCATTCACAGTGGCCACATTCCAGTAAAACTGTCTGAGCAGATGGGCTAAACTAGGTTGAAGATAACCAATGGGCCAGTTGGTGAGGTAGGGGGATAGCTCATGAAGACTTCCCCCAGGGGAATGAGCGTGTGAGAACAATTTGTTTCAACAGCCATGAAGGCGGCTGAAGCAGGCACTGTGGAGTGCTTAGAGCTTGGTCACACATTGAACATGTCAGGGTCATCCACTACATCCCAGGCCATTGCCAGTCATCCTGACTTTTATCCCTACTCAACTTCATTGACATTGGAAGAGAGAGTGAAGCTGATGACTTTGTGTAACTTTGCTTCACTTAAATCCAATTCATGCACAAATCAAGACATCACCCCATGTCATTGGTCCTCTTTGAAAACAAGGGTGAACAACAACAAATGACCACATTAGTTCACATTTAGACCTTTCAGTCTATCCATCTATCTGGTATCTTTCTACCCTTAAGTATCAAAGGTGAAGTTAGCAGATTTTGATGGATTGATTATATTGTCATCTAAAGACCATTTCCCCAGATTTATTTGATAGGAACTTGGTTTTTGGACCTGTGGAGTTCTTATTCTACTGGCTTTCTCTTTGTATTTTTTAAATATAATTTTATTTTTCTTTAATTATCAAGCATTTATTTCCTTCCCATCTACCTTCCCCCATTCCCCACTGAAAAACAAAAAGAAGCTAAAAAGACCCTTTTAAACAAAAAAGCCTAAATAAGTAAAACTAATTCACATATTGTTCATGTCCAAAAATGAGTATCTAATTGATGCTCCCTCTTAGTTTCTATTTAAAAAAAATACACCACATTTTCCTATTTCTTTGATCTCTTTAGTATATAGAGCTAATAGTAGTATTGCTGACTTACACTATATTTATAAACTGTAAAGTTACCTATTTTAAAATTATGACTTTTTAAATTAATAAAAACATTTTCTCCCTCCTTATTAGGAATTCTCTATATCTTTAGGTGTGAAAGATACCTCATATGATTCTTGTTGAATTGTTTTTTTAATGGTATAGACTTTAATATTCAGGTCATGTATCCAGGTTGAGGTTATTGCGGTATGTGGTTTAAGATGTTGGTCTAAATCTAATTTCTTTGAGTCCTCTTTCCCATTTTTTTTCAACAATTCTATTAAAAGGGTCTTCCCAAAGTAATTTATGCTCCCAAATATAACCAATAGTTCTTGAGTTCATTATTTTTGATTCTTCTTTATCTGGCCTTTTCTACTATTCTACTCCTCTGATACCAAAAGTTTTTATTGTTACTGTAAAAGATTTTGAGATGTAAACATTACTATTTTTCCTTCATTCATAATTTTAGAAATTATTTTCTTTTGAGATATAGACCTCTTGTTACTCCAAATGAATTTTTCTTATATATTTTATTTTTCCCCAATTACATGTTAAAATAATTTTTAACATTTTTAAAAAGTTTTGAGTTCCAAAATCTATCCCTCCCCCCCTTCCTGAAATGGTAAGCAATCCAGTATAGGTTATATATGTGCAATCATGTAAAAATTTACATATTAGTGATTTTGTACAAGAAGACTCCAGTAGAAAGAAAGGAAAAAAAGCAATGCTTCAGTTTGTATTTAGGCAGTATCAGTTTTTTCTCTGGAGGCAGATGACCTGCTTCATCATGAGTCCTTTGGGATTGTCTTGGATCATTGTATTGCTGAGAATAGCCAAGTCATTTGAGGTTCTTCATCATACAGTATTGCTGTTATCGTGTACAGCATTATCCTGATTCCACATCCCCTCCAACATCCATCATTTTCTTTTTTTGTTATCTGATAGGCATGAGATGGTAGCTCAGGTACTTGTTTTCATGTGCATTTTTCTAATTAATAGAAATTTAGAGCATTTTTCATACGACTGTAGATACCTTTGATTACTTTGTCTGAAAATTGCTTGTTCATATCCTTTGTCCATTTATCAACTGGGAAATGATTTTTTATAAATTTGACTCAGTTCTCTATATATTTGAAAAATGAGGCCTTTATCAGAGATACTTGTTGCAAATTTTCCTCAGTTTTCTGCTTTCCTTCTAATTTTGGTTGCATTGATTCTCTTTATGAAAAAAACTTTTTAATTGTATATAATCAGAATTACCTATTTTACATTTTGTAATGCTCTCTCTGTTTTCTTTTGTCCTAAATTCTTCTCTTATACATAGATCTAAATAAACTATTCCAAGCCCTACTAATTTGCTTATGGTATCATCCTTTATGATTAAATCATGTATCCATTTTGACCTTATCTCGGCACATGGTGTGAGATGTTGTTCTGTACATAGTTTCTGATACACTGTTTTTCAGTTTTCCCAGAAATTTTTGTCAGATAATGATTTTTTGTTCCAAAAGCTTGGATCTTTGGGTTTATCATATACTAGATTACTATGGTCATTTCCTATAATGTAATATGTACCTCTTATATTCCACTGATCCACCACTCTATTTCTTAGCCAGATCAAATGAATTTTAAAAAATTATTTCATCTAACTCTATAAAGTATCTTTTTGGTTTGGAATACTAACTGTGAAAATAAAAAAATACTTAATGTTCAGTAGGAACTATATGAGACAGGTAATTTATTCTTTTACACACACACACACACACACACACACACACATGAAATGCTAAACACAAAAGGCATCATGCATTGACAGACTTAAAATAGGATTTAATAACTCAAAACAATTACTATAGTATCTTGGGATGGTGATATTAAAATCTCCAGAATACAAAGCAATTTGAATGATTGCTTATTAGGCATTTTACATTTTTACTTTGGTTCTGAATTCTCTAAACAACTTCCAGAACATATCTGGTGGTAAAAGAGCCAGATTTGGGTCAGTTTTTCTGTTGGTATTTGATCTGTATGAAAGCAGTGGAGTAGTTGTTAGGGACTCTTTCACTGCTGTGATTCAGCTCAGACCAGATGGATCCCAAGACTTCTAATAATACCACAAGATTGCCTCCTAGTCTAGACATGTTCACATCAAAGAATACTCATTCACCTAAAATCTGGAAAGACCAAAAGAGGAAATGAGATCCACGGGCCCAGGTGAGAAGTCATCTGGTTGAGCTTTCCTGTTTTTCAACTGCCACATAAAGTTGTCATAATTCTGATGTGAAGAAAGCCAGCCCTTCTGTACCTCTTCACTGGAAATCTCAGAGTTACATAATGCCACATCGAGTGTAGAAGCAAGAAGTCATCAGCCATATTCTTTCCTTTCTTTTAACTGGTCCAGTCTTCTGTCCTATGCCACTATCATGGGATCAGGGAGGACTGAGGAACTACTCAAGGCTTTACTACGTAATTTACTACATTTACATTTACTACATCATACTTTAAAAAAATAAATAAAAATTAATTTAGCACTGGGTTATCACATGACCTGACACAGATTCCAAAACTTCTGCATGGTGAACCAGAAGGAGGTAAGGGAACTCTCTGGGCAGCCTTCTTGGGATAGCCCTTGTTACAGTGGTATAGTCCAGGGTTCAGTAGAGAAACAGGCTGCAGGTGGGGTATAGCTCTCATGCTGTAGTTTACTGATCCTTGGTATAGACCACTGGTTAATAAGAAGAAGAAATAGATTGCAGGTTTCTGACACAGGTTACCAATTGTATGAGATACAGTTGTGAGAAAGGATTTCAACTGTCCAGACTAATGCTAAAGATCTTTTTTAAAACTTGATGTGACAAATTCCTGTTGTGATTGCAGAATAATTTCATCTTTCAGAAGGTAGAGGAGGAACTGTTACAATAAAAACTTGATTCTGGCCAATAAAGGATGGATTTGTTAATAAAGTTATAAATGATAGAAATCTTGAGAGGCAATGACTATGTTCTCCTTAATTTCATAATT